CCCAGCCTGCGGAGCAAGCACCACCATGTGGCTGGCAGAAGCGCCTCCTGGTTGAATTGGATGAACGCTGGTGTAGCTGCACGTCATAATCCGAGAATGTGCAGGGAATAGTCCGCCTGATGACAGCTGCATCTTCTGCGTTCCAAACTAGTGGATTCTAGAGCTTTTGTGTGGACAAGTTGAGCCACGGTTGAACGATGTCAGCTCCGAGAGTGAGACCACGTGTGAACTCATCTTGCCCAGGCTTCTGCCCCACAGAAAAGGATTGGTACTTCTGGTGCGTGGCCCAGCAATTCTGACATTTGAGGGTTTTTAGTCTTTCTACATGTTTCGCTTCCTACCGGCTGACACCGGACCCAAACTTCCTTTGACGGTATTGCTCTGGGAGTGAGCTCCCAGCAGCTGCAAAAAGAGATGTGACAGAAGCTTGCCCTTCTTAGAATGCAGGCAACTTCGGCAGGGCTGTAGTTGCAGCATTACCCCTGGTCAGCTGGTAGCCGCATGGATGGAAAGCAGTTGCACGACATTGGGCGACATCTTCTTTCTCCTCTGCCCAGGAACAAGTACAAAACCGATGATGCTTTCTGGCCACAGGAAGGTCACTCGGCTCCCTGGTCCTGCAGCGGACCAAGAGTTTCCTCACTTGGCTCCTGTGCTTTGTTGAGACTTTGCTACCAGTGCACTTGCTGCGGCACTTGAATACATGGTGCCCTGCCTTGCGATCTTCGGAGCTTCTAGGACCACATATCAGGAAAGTGTCGGTGTCAAAGTTCTTGCCATTCTGAATCCATGACATGGGCCGGGTTGTTTCGAGGTCGGACTGTGAATGGCCGAGTGGAGCTGTGCACCCAGCTCTCCAGAAGCCAAATGTGTGTCGCAAGCCTTCAATCTTCCTTCGGCACACGGCGCACGAGCTGCAAGAGTGCTGCAAGCATAGGACATGTCAAGTGACGAGCCATGACGGCAAGCAATTTGGAGTTGAGGTGGATAAACCAGGCGAATGGCCGGTCGTTCTTTGATGCGGCCTGTCTGAAAGCCTGATGGAACATGGAGAGTCCGGATCGGGACCTTGCAATATCTGCCAAAGCAGGCTCGAAACTGAAAGGCCCCGGGTGCGTTTTCCAAGGTGTACATCCGAATTCCTCGTTTCCGCGTTGTTATGACATGCCCTCCCAGGACGAAGCAGAGGACCTACGGAACGAGAACTGCTGACTCCAAATTGGCATGCACGTGGAACTTATGGCTTTGCCCGGCCCCAGAGAGAGCGCGGGAAAGTGCCTTGATGTCCTCACTGCTGCATAAGCTGGCTGCTGTGAGCGGGGCGCAAAAAAGTGCCGACACGCCGTAGCATTTGGGGATGCATCCTAGCCGTCGAAAGGGATTTGGACCCTCTTTGGACAGTCTCTCTCCCCCCCACCCCCCCCCAAGGCCCCAAGGATTTGAAAGGAGCCAACTGCCGCAGCAATCTCCCAGGGAGAGGGGCCCGGCAACTGATGACTTTGTAAAGGCGCGGACCCTTCCAACCAGGGCAACACCAATCCCCCTCCACCCCCATGGAAAACTGAACTCCTTGTGTCCTGATCCATAACTTGGCCCAAGAGAGAGTTTTCAGCTGATGTGTGGCCTGGAGCCATGACAGCAGCTGGAGGTAGATCGCCCGCTGTTCCAGCGGCTGCTTGGCTCAGTGTCAATTCTTGGTTCTTTACAGACTCTACGGTCAGAACTGTTCAGTTCATGCGGCAACGGAACACATGCTGCAAGCCTGAAATCACATCACCCTGGATGCTTGCTGTAGCTTTGGTATTCAATGACGATGGTAGTCGCAGAACATATTGGCAAGGGATGGGCCACTGCTTGCAAGTAGTGCAAGTTTAGGCGTCTTACCGCATCCGGCTCTTCATGGCAGGTATGGGTTGGATTATTTGTCATCAGCCAATGCCTGCTGCCGCGACAAACTCTGCCTGGTGACTTTGTGACACAGCAGCAAGGAATCATGTGTTGAAGCTACCAAAGAGAGGTCTGCCGAGAACACAGAAATCGCGGTTTCCGAAAATAGGCCCAATATAGACCCCCAAATAGTAGGATCCCCTTAGAATAAGGACCCCAAACAAGGTACCCCATGGCACCCCTAAAATCGTAGACCCGCAAATTTTGCGAGTCAGTGTGCGTGGTGGTGCAGGTGGCGCTGGAGCCGAGCAGAGGGCCGCCGAGAGGTCTACGAAGTTTGCGGTGGGCCACTTCTGAGGAGAGGTTTCGGAGTGGTTCTGGGCATGAGCGAATTTTTCCAACACAGCTGACTGCACATGGTTCTGGGGAAGGCTAGTGATCGTTGGTCCTGAAGCTAGGCTTCCAACACAGCGAAGTCTTCGAATAGTGTGAGAATACCAAAACAGTGATGTGGAGGTACAGTGGTGTGAGCAAGTTCGGCAGTAGCCACACGCAGCAACGCTTGCAAGAACAAGCCATGTTTGTGCCAAACACCATCGGAGGATGCCTCTGCCGCGCCGTCCTTCGAAGCTGGTGGTCGAGCCATGCTTACTGGCTTTACTGCGTCTTGATTCAGACTTGGTGGCCAATTGAAATCTTGAGGCTTGCACAAAACAGGGCTCCTTTGCCAGGCAAGAGAAGTTTGTGGATCGTGCCATGTAGGCATGACGGAATGGAACCCCTTCTCATTTTGAATATCTCCGAATTGAAATTGCTTGCCCGCAAGCCGGGCGGAGCATGAACAAGCGAGCACCTGCCACAAGCCACTGCTCTTTGCTGCTGCCATTGCCACTGCAGACCACCACTGACTTGTGTACCCACGATTCGTCCTTTGTATTGCGCGTGCTTCTTCTGGATGACGTTGAGGAGGCAGCTGCAAGGAAGCTGCCCGCAAATCGTCGTGCAGCGGCTTTAGTGACGTTAGTGGACGATAAACTACGTCATGGATGGGCATGACATCTTTCTCCAGAATGCGGCAGGCACTTAATGATTCTTCGCATGGGCCAAACCCTCGTCTACAGCACCGAACTGAACGAATGTTTGCAACGTTGCCTTTCTCGCATCTGCTGCTCATCTGTGTATGTGGGGCGAGCATCGCTCCTTGCCTCTTGAGGTTCTTTGTTGCCCCCACTTCTGGCCACATCCCCTCATTTCTCATTACCTTCCCCTAGCAGCGCTTGATCCGAATATCATCCGAATCAAGCTCAGGAGCGTACCTCGCTCAATGGCGAGCCGGTTGAGCTGACGCCCTTCTCGAGTTCAGTAGGGGCCGCGACGGAATGAAGCGAACATAAGGTTGCTTCTGGCCTCGAGGAAATATTGGGGATTTTGGTGTTTCTGATAACGTCGTAGCTCTGAGTGCGCCTCGTGCGGCCCTTGGTACTCTGAACACTGAGCATACTACGAGACGGACGAGACTTTCCTGGGTGTCTGGGCACTTAAGGATCCGGTGGGACGAGGAGCAGCAGGGCTGGCTGCTTGCCGGCATTACGGAACCTGGTTCAGTGCAAATTCCTGGCTCAACCTTGTCGCACGAGCAGGAGTGGGGCCCTAATGCTGCTGAAGCCCTTAACTTGAGATTGCTCGACCTTAACCTGAGATTGCTCCAAATGATGTCGTGGTGCATCCTGCAGCTGTCACTGAGGGTTGTGCGGCGCCAGACGGAACAGAGCATCACCAGTCTAGTGCCTCTCAGCTGCTGTTTACTGCTTGCAATTTTTGCTCGGAAGTGAACCTTGAAGCCAGTCTGCACAGCGTTGTGTTTGGGGAAGCACATTGGTCCATTTGCTCTGGAGCACATCGCTGCCTACCACGGTTCGTTGTGGGGTTGCAAGGTCCTTGAAGAATTTGATGCCGTACCCGGAGAAGGAGGAACCTGCAAAGCCAAAGGAGCGGGAGTTCAGCCCCGTGAGCTTCCTGGCCACCATCATCGGGGCATTGATCCTGTTGTCCACTGCCGTTGCCGTGCTCGTGCCGCTGGTCTCCGGTCTGTACAAGGACATGACGGGAGAGTACTTGGTGAGACTAGACGTGCCTTCGCTTTACTAATATGCCGACCCAGCACGTCCGAAAAAAGGCGTTGCGTGCAAGACAGAGAAAGAGCTGGCAAAGCGGTTACTGCACAGTTGCTTCGCAAAGTGGTTGCCGCAGGCAGTGCTAGCCACCCACTATATGCCTCTTCCATCTTCTTGCAGATGTGCTTTTGTTTGAATGCCCACTGGCGACCGCGTGGCTCAAGTATGACCATGCGCATATTGTAGCTGCTCTGAGCCTGCCAGAGCGACTGCACACAGCTTCGAGGCCCCGTGGTGTTGAGTCCACTTTAAGGACCACAGTACTCATGTGCAAGTTGAAGTGAACAAAATGTACCCGAGGATTGAGTGCGGTTCAAAGTTTTGATACGCCTGCCCCGCGGCAATCTCTCGAGATGGCCATGCGATCGACCCTTGCTTAAGACGATGCAGGGAGGTGGCAGCCGATACGGCCATGTAGCCACAAACCCGAGTGGGCTAGGTGGCAGGATGAGGGCGAAGCTGCCATGGCTGCTGGCTGTAGCAGCAGCTTTTTCAAGGCCATGATCCGCTGATACTGAAGAGGGCTGAGGTCGTGCCCACTCAAACTCACGCAGGCAGAATAGCTTTCTCAGCGTGCACGCTGTGAGGAAAAGCTTCTCCCCTCCCAGTTGGTTTGCCCTCGGCCTGTCCCGGGCTTTGCCTTCATGCCCAAGCCTGTGCGCTCTTGAGTTGAAGAGCAAGTTAGTGGCCAAAGCAGTGTCCAAGCCCATCGTGACCTTCATTGAATGGCATCTTCAGTAGACTGTTGCGGCCTGGGCGTGCACCGGAAATGGGAAATCGGGCCCAGGTTGATTGAACGCAAGTCCCCATGACGGGTTGTGGTGGGACTTGGATCTTGGACCACATCACCGTCTTGTAGAGTTCCGTAGAAGACAGTGGCCAGCTGAGTATGCCTTGAGATATGTACAGGTCTCTAAAGGCATCCCATGTTGGGGTGCCCGAAATGGGAGGCTCCGTGTTTTTTTGTAGGGGTTCCGAAGGGACGGCTTGAGTCGGAGGTTCAATGGGAGGTGACCTTCGACCTGGCGGGGCAATGGCGAAGCAAAGGCACGTTGTCCCAGCTCTTCGCGGGCTGAGCACACTGAAGACTGCAGATGCCATCTGTCCTGAAGGCTTCCCGGCAAGTTAAGCAACAACAGGGGTGGAAGGGTCCAAAGAAGCCTCCAAACCCCCTCTGCCAGCCCCAAGTAAAAGAGGCCCTCACATGCTCTCATACAACTGTGAGAGCAGAACAGAAGTATACAACCCTGATAGGCGCGATTTCGGGGGCAGCACAGGCCGGCGCCATCTGACCCCCAAACCCTGGCACCACGAGCATCACTTTCGCACACTGTAGGTATCAAACCCTCAACTGAAACAACAAAGGTTGAAAGGAGTAAGTTTTCTTTAGGATTTCTTGTTTTGGCTCTAGGCTTCAGGGTAGCAGAGAGTTGAGGGTTCAGATAGCATTCAGGGGTTCGGGTTTAGTTTGGTCCCCAAAAGGCCCTCTTGAAAGATCTTGAAAGACAGCCCCGTGAGGGTAGACAATCAGTGGATTGCATCGCTCTACATCTCTTCGTGACTGTTTCCTCAGCCTAGGGCCTGTCTCAGCACCCTCGCGGCTGCGCCGGGCGGGTTCCTTGCCCTTCCTGCCCTCCCTCCGGCCACGTGGCTACTGAAGGGTACGACTTGGGCCAATTGCGCCGCCTGTACATGCAAGGCGAGATGCGCACGGCTGGCCAAGGTCCGTGCGGCGGTCCGTTGTGGGCCTCCTCTCGTCCCGTGGGTCGCGGTCGGAGGTTGGCAACAAGTTGGCGGTTGCCACGCAGGACATTGTGTGTGTGTGTGTGTGTGTGTGCCGTGATGTGTCTTGTTGGCCAGGGGCCTGAAGATCAAGAATTGAATGGATGAGTTGTGTGAAGTCGGAGATGCGCAAAGTGCCCAGCTCAGAGTCCTTGTGGAAAAGGACTCCAAGCCTGTTGGCTCCCTCCCGGAGTTGGAGAGATGCAAGAAAGCTCCAGGACGGCCTGGGATAAGCTCAGAGAGAATCGTAGAGTTGGTGAGGTGCTCGTAGCTTTTCTGTGCCATAGGCAAGTCGAAGAGAGGCCTTCTCCCTTGCACAACCTTGCAGTCTGAAGGACCCCGAAGAGCAGACGGCTGCTTGCCTTGTTGCAGTACATCCAGAAATCCAGAAAAGCATCAGAAGCATCGCCCTCCGCAAGAGTAGTTAATGCAGCTGCATGTCATGAGGAACAGCACATGTGCAACGCAACTGCTAGATGGATCTCACATCTAAGAAGCTTAGGGAACTGGCAGTGGCGCTCAAAACATGTTGAGCTAGGAGGAGTCAGTCTCTACCAGCTTTGGACCCAAAACTGCAAGGTATGCATAGCAAGGCAAAGCGCATGAGTATCAGTTGCACAAGGCCAGCCCAGGCCAGCCCTGGAGGACGCTGCGCAGGAGGCCAGAAAAGCCTGGAAGGCCGGGGGCGATCAACATCTTTAGTGTAATTGGACTTCCGGAATACAGCCGTTTGCTTTCACAGCAATTTGGGCGATGTGATTTGTACAGCGACGCGGTTTCGCTCTTGGTTTGCCAGAACGTCCGGCTGGTCGGCTTCCTGCATGCACTTCACTTAGCCATTTTGGCCTCGTCTCCGAGAACATGTCTGTAGCCGGAGCGACAAGTATACTGCAGCTCCCAAGCCCATGTCCAGCGGTAAGTATGAGCGCATGTAGTCATATGGGCTCATAGGCTTAGGTTATAGGTGTATCTCAGGTCAACCACGTGAGCTCGCAAATTGTAAATGCACATGTCAAGCTTATTCAGCCTCAGTTGCAGCTTCGCTCACGTGCTACGAATGGCGACGGCGCAAGAGGTAGCAGAGAGCGCACAGGCGCTCATACTGAAGCATTTCACCCATTGGGATGCCGAGACTTGGCTGGAAAGTGTTCATGAGGCGTCAGGCTTGGTGGCGGAGTTCAGTTGGAAGCATGAATAGACCATTGACCTGAAAAGCATGCAATGCAGCACTGTGCATAGTACAGCAGAAGCCTAGTCCAAATAGATTTATGTCAAGCAATGTTTGCGGAACCTGGCCAGTAAGATCTCCGGTAGGATTACATTCCGGGCCATGCGGCGCTCGCCTTGGTTCTTTAACTGGGTCTTCCAGAGTATCTAGGGTCATCAGGGGTTATCAGGGGCCACCAGGGGCCACCAGGACTTTTTACAGAGGGTAACCTCCCCAAATAGCCCCCCAGCACCTCCTGGTCTATTCTGGGTTTGGTGCCGGCAGTTGGTGGGTGTGTGTGTGTGTGTGCGCGCGCGCGCGGGTGTTTCGGTTCTGGCTTGGGTGTTTTCCTTCGGTTGGTGTTGGGACGGTATCTCCTCAGGTTGAATCGCATGTTTTGCATGCGAACTCCCGGGCTGAGAAGCTTCCCCGCTCACATCAATGGTTTGAGTCTAGAGGAACAGGTGATTCATGGCGCGGGCCAAGACTGCACTTGCCTACTAGCAGCCTACCATTCCCAAGCACTGATCCCGATCCATGCCGTGCATTTCTAAGCACTGTGCCAGGATGGCAGTGGAATGATTGACAAGGACGAGCTTGCAACCATTATGCACCCCGGGGTGTGTTATGCAAAGTCTGTCAAATGCGTATGCATCACAAAACTGCAGCAGGGCTCTGTAGTTTGTACCGTGGCAACTGGATCCTGAAAATACACTTGATGTGAACCATCTGAGGATTAACCCCAGGACCTCGCCCGCCCGACACCTTGCCACACAAGTGACCTGCTGAGTTCTGTCAGGTACAAGATTTCATCCTCAATGAATCAGCGAGATATCGATCGTTTGCTTGCGGTTATAGATACAAATGGGGACGGTTTAATCGACTTCAGAAGCTTGGCCAAGTGCTCTATGCTGGCTCGGGGTTGTGGCTTTTTTTGCTGTGATAGGTTTTGGAGGTACTACAGCATTTGGAAGTTTTTCATTCCTGCACAGCTGCGGATTCAGGAGAGTTTGTAGCCTGGATCACAGATCGTCGAGCCGACCGAACTGTTGGCAACGATGGGTGGATAGAGCGCTTCGATGTGGAGGCGCTCTTGAGGCCCATGTTTGAGGTATTCGACCGAAACAAGGACGGGTTAATCTTGCGCGCCGAGCTCGAGGAATGCTCACAAATCCTGGGCAACTCCCTGAGCATCCATCCCTCCTCAGCACCTGACTGTCTGGCAATGGATTGGAAGCAGCTGCCGGCCAACGAAACAGTAAGCTTCCAACAGTTTGTGGATTGGCAAGTCAGCTCTCTGGAGAAATGCGGTATTCCGAATAACCAGCTGCCACGATTGCAGCTCGGATTTCATTTGCATTCTTTGCTTTGCTGAGTTTGTAGCATCGCTTCATTTCTTGGGTACGGCACGGCACCGTTCAGCACCGACTTCGAAGCCTCACATCACTGCAGTGGGACCCTTTAACTGAAGCCTTTTTGAAGGCTGGAGGAGCTCTGCGAGTCGCTGCAGATCATCTTCGACATCGACCGCTTGCATGAGCAGGGCGTCGAGAACTCCAAGGTCCACGATGCTCTGTCGGAGTCGGCCGGCGGCCCAGAGTGAAATCGCTGGTGCCACCGTGAATCTGCGTTCAATTGCCCTTGGACTGCGGCTAGCAAGGTGAAGAAGGTGGCAGATGCCACGCGCCGCATTTACACGCGCAAGTTGTCGCACCTTGGTGAATGACAGTTGGCACAGCACGAACTGGCTTCTGCAAACGAGCTTTCTTCAGAGATTGTATGATGCGAGCTGCACCCTTCCAAGGAACATCGACAACCAGGATCAGGCTTGTGCCATTGTTCGGCCGCTCAAAAGGGAGTAACAATGGTGAAGAATCGAGCCTGTCATGACCCGCGAGCCCAAAACCTGAACTTAGGAAGCCATTGCACACGGACACTGAGATCTTCGAATCTTGACAGTCGAAGCCCTCCGCTTGAGAGGCGGCGCCTGAAGAACGGGCTATGTGGGTGTGCCCGCCTGACGTCAACGACATGCACCTGCTAGCACGGCTTTGCGCCAAGCGAAACGGCATCAGGCGAGAGCCAGGGAATAGGAGTGGCACAGATCCGTCGCTGGCTTTTCCCTCCCTCTCTCTCACCAGAATCGACCTCCTAAAAGGCTGCTGAATTACCAGGAGGAGGGCACCATCGAGCCGGCACGGGCCTGTGGAGAGAACAGGTTGCGTGGCACGAAAGGCTAGAACTGGCACTTTGTTCTTTCTGTTCCATTCAGGCCGCAGCCGAGAGGGCGCGACACCGAACCAGCGCCATCCCAACCTCCTCGTACTCACGGCCAGGGAAGGGAAGGACCGAGTTGTTGAGAATCCCTCTCTCCTGGTCCCTCTGGGGTCCTTCCCGTGGAGTCCGTGGAGTCTTCACAGAAATCGTGGGGTCGTCATGTGGATGACAGGCACGTGGGTTACGCAGTGTACGCACGGCAGGAGTTCGGTGTCACATCTTCCGCAATCGCCAGCCGCCAAGAAGATCCGCAAGCTGTCCATCCGAAGCCACTTGGGCAGTTATGGGGGTTTACGAAAATAGGGAACCCCCAAAAACACACCCCAAATAGTAGGATTCCCTTATAATCAGGACTCCAAAACGGTACCCCCCAATTTCGGATATCTTGTCTGATTCAGAACAAAGCGAGCAAAATGTCTGATGCTACGAATTGCCGAGGAGCCCAGGACTCAATCACAGCCATGGTTGGCGTAGCTGCACATGCTTGGAAACCAAAAGCCCGGCCCCCTCGTTGCACAGCAGAGGTGAAGTTCGCTTAGCGATCGGACACGTTTCGGTGTGCATCCCTGACGTGCTCACGGATCTGCCGCCAGCTGAGCGACCTTGGATGGCGCAGCTTGGCTTGATCCCCCCTTTGGCAGCTTTAGCCCCCAAACCACAGGGCCGAGCAGCCCTGGACATGCTTGAGACTTTAGACTGCATTGAGCCACATGGCCAATTGTGCATCCTAGGAAAGTAACTCGATCCCAGTATGACATCGAGCAGCGGCGGATGATCGACGATATTCTGATTTATGTCTTGAACCGACACTTGGCAGAAGCCCCCCTTCCTCCCCGCCCTCCGGAGGTGGAGCGCATCTGGTCATCTTGCGCAGCAGCACGTGCTGAAGCGTGCGCAAGAATGAAGCACGCGTTACAGCTGTAGCATTAGCTGGCTGCTGGCCACTTGGGAGCTCGGAACTACGATTTCAGGATGCGCTTTAGAGGCTCGTGGCCCAGCAACATCATGGAGCCAGGAAGGCTTGAGTTTGGTTTTGCTGATTGCCTTGGCAGTCTTTTCGGATGCCGGGAACGCGTGGAAGGCTTCATTTATGTTCATTCTATCAAGGCTTGTCCGAGGGGATGCGCTCAGTACTGGCACAAGCATGCAAGAATGCAACCATGCAAACATGCAAGCACGCCCGCTTCCATGCTCTCACAGGCTGGCAGACAAATGCCCAGCTTTGGCACGCTTGCCTTGCGACTGCTGGCTGCGTGCTTGTTGGCTCACTTTCTATGCTCGCACCCACCCATGCCCACACCGGCACATGCACATACCATCATGCAGGTGTGCCGGCTTGCATGCACGTGTGCGGACTGATGGGTGCGGACACTACGGAACTCTTTCTTGGCCCAGGCTTTGCCCTCAAGTCTGTTCGGTTCCGATCAGCGTCAAGATAACATGTGCAATGAGCATGGAGCGCGCCATTGTGGTCAATCTTCCCTTCCTCCCCTTGAATTTGCTTTGCACATCGATCTTGCCCTTTCCTCATCTGTGCAGCGCAAGGAGCAAGTACTACGTGGACGGTGATGAAGGAGCATGTTTCTGCGCCAGTCATTTTGCTGGCCAGAACGGCTAAGCACGTTCCTATGTGGATTGTGCCAGGACACTCGGCACTTCGACAGAGTCTGGAATGTGCTACCCGCACCTTTGCAACTCTTTGCTTTGTTGAAGGCACAGGCGCCTGGCATGCAACTTATCAGTTGTTCAGACGTGGTCGTCTGTGTCACCAGCGTTCTGTCTTCGTGTCCTGATCTGGCTATACACGATTCCGAGCCAGGACAGCTCTCGGGGCGTAGATGGTGCAGGCTGTCAAACTGAGGCACTTATGGCCGACTCCATCAGCTGGCACGGCACCAAAACAGCTCTGGAGACAGCGGAGAACTATGGCCTCGTGAGCGCGGAGGCAGACCCGACATCCAGAGCCTCCCCACAGCTCAGTGCTGCTTTTTCGGGCGAATTTCTTGGAATCACAGCAACCGGATTGAAGTTTAGCGCTTCACGTAACGACCTCCCAAGAGTGCTGGCAGGCTTGTGACAAGTATACGGCATTTTGCCTGCAATTTGGGAGGGCCTTTGCAACCTGTCGCACTGCAATTCGCACGTCGCACGGTACCAGTCCTAGTGTCGACTTGGAAGCAAAAAAGGCCAAGTCTTGAATCGTTCTGGAGCCCAGGAGCACATGGAGGCAACAGCTGAAACGCACATCCGGGACATCTACTCCGAGCAGGAGCTCCAGCAAATGGACAGCATTGAAGAAGCCGCGTCTTGGCTCGACTACCAGGGACTACCCGTAACATCACCCACAAGAAGCTCAAGCACCACTTTGCTACGCAGAGCCTTCAACGAAATTCTCGATGTATCGAGGGTCTGAGTGGTGCAAAGTGGACTTTGATGAATGAGGTAGGGTTCGGTGGTTCAGGATTTAACATATGACGTGGTCAAAATCACCGAATGCTAATTTAGTAGAGCGGGTAGTTGTTGCGGCAAAACGCCGAGGATCGATGATAAGGGACGCGTTAAATGATAGAGGTATTTGATACGATAGGATAAAAGTGCAGTAGATGAGAAGCATGGGAAACGTTAGGGGGGCGAGCTAACTCAAAAACAGGCAAGGCTTAAACAAGTCATGTTGACGCCGAGTCATATGACGAATCACATCGCTTGATATGTCGAGTTGTGGCTTACCGAATCAGGCTTTGGGCGGGGTGGAAGAGGGGGGTGGGGGAAAGGAGCGATTGCCATGCAAGAGAGGCTTGAACTGCGTAGGGACTTTGGTGGCATTTGTCCAACCCCCCTCCGCTGTGCACGTCGAAGCACAGCCGTGCGTTCGTCAGTGCTGTTGTCCCGCAAGGCCTACGAGTACCTGGAGGAGCATGTGAAGGTTTCACCGGTCGAGATCCTGGCGGCCAAGCCCTCGGCATTTCTGTGAAGGATACGCAGGATAAAGAAAAGTGGCAAGATGCAGATGCAGATCAGTGAGCATGTCTTCAGTCAATCGTACAGGTGCTGTCCGAGCTGAAGCTGATCGAAGTAGATCAGAGCATCTGGAGCCAGCTGCTGGAGGACGAGGGAATGGACGCCTTGCAGGAGCTGGAGGGGTGACAGCCTGTGACAGCTCGGTGCTTCGCGCAAATCCCAAGAAGACAGAGACACAGTCAGCGCCACATGTTGTGATGTCAAAGACATATCAGCACAAACTTTTTCGATCCGACGTTATAAGAGCTTGTTCCAAAATGAAGGTTGCCAAAAAACAGAACACAAGGCACGGCAGCTTGCTAGTTTGCCACCGACTGGGGACCACGATTTTGGGAAAGCTCTGCAGGGTACGAAGAAATATGTAGACATGTTAATCTGTGCCTCGGAGGCTTTGGGGAGCAGCACGGGCGCAGATAGCGGCTCCAAGCCTTAAGGTGTTTTAAGGCGTTTGATTTCAGCATGGGCTGCTTTAAAGCCGACGAGGTTTCGTGTGGAGTGTTTTAACAGAGACCGGCTGTCCAAAGGAAGCTTGAATTCACTTCGACTATGCGGTTAAGCCGCGGCTAACCCGGCTTGCTGTATGCCACGTTTTGTGGCAAGCGAGTGTCACCCTTTCAAGAGATCGTGGCCATTACAAAAATGGCAACTTCAAGTCTGTTAATGAAAAGGTCGTGAAGGGATCCGGGCTGTCTTGCGCCTTGGGCGTAGCACGTGCGTAGTACTGGGCTATGGAAGTGTTGAAAATCAGGGCTTGGATGCCTCCAACCACACTGGCAACCAGATGCCGCGGGACCAGGCGCAAGGGGACAGGGGAGCTCTGCAACATCTGGCCGTTTGCAGTGCCAAGGCATTTCTGAGTCACTGTCCGAGAGGAGAGGTGTCCTTGATGCCGTGTTTGTTGGACGATAGCTTTAAAATATGTTTCTTCGGCTCCTGGTACCAAAGTCCCTGGCACCAGGAACTGGAAAATTTGGTGGACATTTTGATCCGCGAAGTGAGACCCGACTGGCATTGGACATGCTCTGTGGAAGCTTGTTCTTTTGCATCGGTTTCTGGATTCTCCAACACTGTATGCAACTAAGGTACCAGGAGCAGCTGCCCTGCGAATTGCGGCGAGACATCCAGGCTGCATGTCCTGAGGCTGGAGCCGCAGGGTGCGATGGAGTTGGCTGGGTCTACTTGCGCTCGTAGCATCTTCTTTCGGATCACGTAGTGATCACGTCCAGCATTTGTGACTGTCCGCAGCCACAAGTGGGGCTTGGAGGGGGGGCTGGTCTTGAAAACCGTATTGCGATACTGCATGCTCCGCGAGGTCGCGTGGCTCGCGGAATGCATCCTTCAGTGACTCGTTGCAGTAGATTGCGCAAGCCAGTTGGCGGGAATGGCCGTTGCAAAGTTTAAAGTTTAGAGGGTGGTTCTGTCTCTTGCTTGTGTGGAAGATTTGCAGCCATGGCCCCCGGCTGTGGGTAGATGCCGATGTAGACATCGCCATGATGAGGAATTGAAAGCCTCGCACTTAATTTCGGAGCATGGTTAGGTGTCCGCTGCCGGCTAACTGGCGAAAGGTTTGGCGCCATTGTCAGACCCTGAGCCACATGCAAGGTGGGTCAGGTCCAATGTGGCAGTCCAATGTGGCACATGCACAGAGGTGGTGCAGTCTACGTCGCAGCATTTGCATCCTTGAATTGGCCTTCTGTAGGTGAGCCGCTCTACGTTGGACCAGAAGGCCAGAGATGCTTGGGGGGCCCGGAACTGGTAAGAGGATGGGAAAACACAGCGAATGATTCTTGGGACCGCCTGGTACCCTGAAATCAGGCACGCCTTCGGACATCCCTCCTCATCTGCCACATTTCACAAGCTTGGCTTCCCAGGCTGCATTTCAGGCTGCTTCCTGTTGTTTTTGCTTCGCGATCCTTCAGCTTGTGGCTTCATACGGAAGTTCGATCGACATTGGCAGAGTCTGGGGTAGACCACCAAGGTCTAAACATGCCTAAGCTGCAGCAAAAAGTCGAGGCTTGGTGCATCATCTGGGCTCGCCTGCGGCCGACCTGCGCCAAGCAGATGGCAAAACAGCTAGGTGAGTGCCAATGACAACTGAGGCTGGCATTCCCGCAATCAATGCTCTGAATCATGTGTGGCAGGTGCAAAGGCCCGGCAGTTCGGAAGGGAGGCACGGCGCACAGCAGACTAAGCCAACGCGATCGAGGAAACCGATTCCTTAATTGAACAGTCTTAAGATGATGTCGTGCGCTGAGGTAAGCAGCTTGAAAGACTGCTGGACAGGCCGGCCGCTGGCATGCGATCTGACATGTTTCAGCATGTGCGTCTGGCAGGCCCACATGTGGATCCTAGATCGCAAAAAGAGTTCTTCTACTGTGCCGCCGCCGGTGTCCGCCTATCGCAAAATCCCTGCCAGGATCTGCGTGGATCGCATCGTGCTTGGGTTTTCAGGATGATAGATGCAAGACACAGGCACTCTGCCCACACGGCAAGTACTGGGAGGAGTTGAGCTTCGTCGTCCAGTGCGCCGAGCTTCTGCAGCGCAGTGGCGCTTTCTCAGCGATGTCTCCTCCAGCTGAGAAGGCAAGGATGTGAAGACGGTTGGTTCGGGCGCTGAGTAGTTTTGGCTTTCCAGGGCTGCCCGCAAAAAAAACA